AAGCATGTGTATGTTTGATGTTGTGTGTGTTTTCTTATTGATCACACACAAATACACGCACAAAAATCATGGGGAAGCTTAGGAAAGACTCTGAAAGAGTCCTAAAGACTCCAAATGTACAGTGGGGGGGGGAGGAGGGTTGGGTGTGTATACAGTCCGCTGCAGCACATGCTACGGGCAGATCATGTGTACCATGAACATCATTTGCTGCAGCGGAGGTGGCAGTTGTTGTAGTTGTCGTAACATCAGCAGATGGAGCAAGTGTTGCACATGTTGCATGTGATGCATAGCATGTTACCCATGAAGCAGTCGTTTGCTGAAGATGCCACAGCTAAAACAGCAGATGAGACATTGCTACAAACACACGTACACACACACACACACACACACACACACACACACACACGCGCGCGCGCGCGCGCGCGCCGTCACGGCCACATGTCGCATCTCCGTCGCGGCACCCCCAACCGTTCTCGCCTCTACTTCCACCCCTCAATCATGCCCGACCCCTTTTTTTCCAATCAATCAATCAATCGCTTAATCCAATCAATCAATTAATTAATCAATCAATCCACTGATGTACTAACCAATCAATTGATTGGGTATCGAATCAATGCAGTAATTGATTGGACCATTGATTGGTTGATTGATTGCAATGATTGAATGAGTCTTAATTCGATAGATGGATTGATTGATTGATTGACTGATTGATTAAATAGATTGATTGATTGATTGATTGCAATGATTGAATGAGTCTTGATTCGATAGCGTGATTGATTGATTGATTCATTCATTCATTCATTCGATAGATTGACTAATTGATTGATTGATTAAAGAAAAGGGAAAAAAAAGGTCTCTTATTTATTAACCCGCTCCTCCTCCTCCTTCTCCTCCTCCTCCTCATCTTTCTCCTCCTATTCGTCATCCTCCTCCTTGGCAATGCATCTCGACTTTCCGTTCATCCCGCATCACCAATTCTGCTAAACAAAAATGACCCACTTGGATCTTTCATTGATCCTCGGGGTTCGCTTAGGCAACCCCGAAATCTTACCTGTTTAAAGTTTGAGAATAGATCGAGGATGTTTCACCCCCAAGGCCTCTAAGCATTCAAGTTACCCGATACAATCGTTGAAGAACTTCAACTATTATGAGGGAAACTTAGGAGGGAACCAGCTACTAAACGGTTTGATAAGTCTTTCGCCTCTATATCCTCGTCATCTTGCTCCTCCTATTCGTCGTTGACCTCCTCCTCGTCGTCATCACGGTCCTCCTAATCGTTACCTCCTCCTCCTCCTCCTCCTCCTCCTCCTCGTTATCGTCCTTCTCCTCCTCGTTATTGTCCTTTTCCTCCTCGTTATCTCGCTCCATCTCCTACTCCTCCTGCTCCACGTCTCGCTCCTCCTCTTGCTCCTCGTCATCCCCTCCTCCTTTTCCTCTTCCTTTGCCTACTCGTTACCCGACTCATATTCATTGTCCTTGCCCAGCATCCCGGCCACATGTTGCACCTCCTCCACGACACCCCCCACCCCTTTCTTGCCTCAGTCTTGTCCTTCCCCCCGTTAATCCCACCCGCCATTATTTGTTTTTCCCCAATCAATTATAGTCAATCAATTAATCAACCTATCAGTCAATGTAATCAACCGATCAGTCAATGCAATCAATCAATCAATCAACCAATCAATCACTATATCGAACAATCTGAGTGGTCCCGGACGTCCGCCCAAGTAAGGTAGCCTAAAAATTCAAATGCAAAGGAAAAAATATAAAGAAACAACAATGGAAAGAAAAAAGGTAGATGAATGAGTAAAAGAACTTGTGAAAGTGTAAACATTAAAAAAAAAAGGAGGAAAATTGACCATAGGTCCAAAGCAAGAAAAAAGCATAAACACCGTTTGTTGACCAAGATGAACCAATCAGGTTTGTTTCATAATACAACACATAGGTTATCATGATTGTACTACATTGGATGCTAAACCAATATAACGTCCGGACTAAGCTAATATTCAAAATAGTTATCTACATTTATATATTCGATAATCTAACATGCGAGCGATCGAAATACAAAAGGGACTAATGCTATCTTACAAGATTAACAAAACAATGTAGAGTCATTGTAGACTACCAAGGTAAGAAAACAAAGTTGTATATATTAGCTACATACACAAACAAAATTATCAAAGGTATCGCTCAGGGAGCTTGATTACCGAATACCAAGAACGGAAATTTGGACTCAAACTTGAGTGTCCAAGCAATGTAGTCTAAAGCCCAGCTTCAGTTTCTGCCTTTCACTGAAGCTTCAAGATGAGGCCAGCATTAGGAGGTCAACATAGGATAGTCGAATCAAGTGGCGGATAGCGATTGAATTTGTGTCACGCAGGCTAGAAACTTTTACAACATGGAAAACCTCAAGAGATTGGTGGAAACCTTAGCAGAACGAAGCATCAACGTAAACGGAAAAATAAAAAACAAAGCATTTTGGTATTCGTGTATTGAAGTGTTGTCTTTCCGTTTGAATTTATGCTTCATCATGCAAAACCTTACTCTGACCTCCATGTCGTAAACATGCATGGCTTGCATGACAATAGAAAATACGGAACAAAAACTTATGTAGGACGGCAGAAAACAATAAATCAATCAAGTAACCACTTGGATGACATATGTTTGCGAAGGTTTTGTTTCCACTTGCATCTTGAAGATAATACGACAAGATAAAACATTAATTTAACATCATCGAGCATTTCTCATTTGTATGCTTACGACACTGAGATAGGGGAAAAATCGTGACAGTCAATCTTAGTATTCGGGTATCAGCTGCTTTAAGCCAACATCGTTGTTTTAGATAATTTTTTGACTCCGAACAAAGTCCGAATCATGAAAGCAACATTCGAAAACACGTTCAATTCGTACAGAAAACAACAGTGTGTGGTGCAATGAACAGTCAACCAACATCGCTATCGTAAAATGAATGTTGCTAAAGTCACGTGTGACATTAGCAAAACTAAGTGAAACGTTGCTAGAATGTTCCAGTAATGTTGTTAACTGTGTTGCACGGCGTACACGCGCACACATATGCACCGTGACGTGTGCACATATATGTGCGCTCGTTCGTCAAAAAGGGTGCCGTGTACGTGGTTGCAGGGGGTCTTTCCGGGCCGTTTTGTGGCCCAGTCGGGGTTGGGGGGTCGGAGGGTGGTCGGACTGCAAGGCGGGGCAGGGGGAAGACGGTCCCACGTGAATTTAGAATTCAACCCAGCTGCCCCCCCCACACCATGCACCTTCTCATTGGCAGTCCCGGGTGCAGACACCAATGCCACCATGGAGGTCGCCATCGCCTGCGCCATGACAGGGGTCGTCATCGCGGTTGCCTTCACGGGGATCGCCATTGCCGCTGTCGCCGCGGTCGAAGATAAGTTGGTGTGTGCGTGTGTGTGTGAGCGTGCGTGACTGTGTGAGCGTGCGTGACTCCGTGTGTGTGTG